CTGAAACATTGTCTGTGAGCAGCATAACTTCCTCTTATCTCAGAGGCAGCCTAGAGTTCACTGTCATCAGTTAATTCATTATAAAGGCATTACATGCTATTAGGCAGGGGATGAATAATAGCTAAAACACATAGAAGCCTCTAGACCTTGTAAAGATGCCAAAAAAAGAGTAGTTTGCACTTAAGATAGCAAAAGAAATGTAAAGAATGAAGGGAAAAAATCCCACAACATGCTACATAAATTTGCCTGCCTCAGATATAGTTTCTAACAAAATTTTAAGCATTTGAGTTCAGATCAGGGTCATCTGAGAAACTCAGAATCCCTGCTTCTGCACTTGTCTTCTCCTCTGAATCCAGGGTGAATTTTTCTTTCCTACGCTCTGCTTCTTTCTCCCTTACCCAGCCCTTCAGTTAACCTTTGGCTAAACTTTGTTTTCTTTGTGGCTCTTGCCCCAGCAAGCTTCCAAAGCCACTGGGTCCTTTTCAGGACTATCACCTCTCCAAGTTTGATAACTGCAAAACTAGGAACTTGGTGTTAATGCTTATCCTTTAGGTTTTGTATGTACGAAAATTCTACTGCTTCAGTCCCTCTCCTTTCAAATAAACTACGCTGGATTGCTTTCTATAGGCTTTATTTCTTCCAGTGTCTTAAGGTGCTCAGCTTAAGTAAGGTTTAATGAAATCTCTTGCCTTAAATACAGGTGACTCCACATATGCAGAAGCATTCAATAATCCATAGAATTCACAACTTGCATATTGTCAAGTTTTCTGAATTGTTGGACCTACTGTGATGATAAGTCATTGACTGCTGTCAACCATTAAATAATTATTCAGGTTTGTGTTTGGGTTTTGTTTTGTGGACAGTGGAATTTTGTAGGTCATTTTTATTTCTTTGGTACAGTTGTATTAGCACAGAAAGTCTGAAGGAAACGGCTTGACACAGATAGAAAAAAAACTATTACATCTGAGACTGCCAAGGCCCAAAACCAGAGCAATAACCCCAAATGAAGAATACAAAATAATAGCTTTATTATTATTTATTGCACCATTCAAAAGTGTACTACTTGCTTCAGAGCACAGCAATATTCTTGCAGTGTTCCCTGGGAGATCTTTTGTCCCAAAGTCACACAGACCTCATTATGTGTTATGTTATTTTGATTTAGATTAGATAAGAAGTGCCTAGACATCAGCTCAGAGCACTCTGCCAGTTACTTAAAACTATAAAACTGAAATGCAGTGCAATCAGTTTAACTCTTCTACCAAGCTGCACACGCAGTCAATCAAATATTAGTGGTCCCTTACATTAGTGCACTTACTCCTTCTTCAAAGATGAGGTGAAACACACAGTCTTTGCATTGCCTTGAAAACTGATAGGAAGCAGATCAGGGTAGGATGTGTTGGTGTTTACCTACAAGACAGTAGCTCCCAAGAGGCATTTTGCCACGTCTGTATGTTCACTGAAGTAAAAATATCTTCACAGTCCAGTCTGGTAAAATGACTAAATCAAATTGCTCCAGCCTTGCCAACCTCAGATGTGCAAAAATTATGAGCTAGACCATCTCAACATTTATGACAAAAATAATTTGATTTCTGAGTCTTAAGATCAAACTCAGTTCACTTTTGATTTTATACTTTTATTTCAAATGAGTCCTGGAATTGCCACATTGTCATTTGCAGCAGGGAGTTGGAGTGTTATGAATATACCAAATACATCAAGATACACCTGAGAAGAATCAGCAATGTTAGTAACAAAACATGAATTGTCCAGCTGTACGAACCCTGAGGAGATCATCCCTGAAAATGTCTTGGACTTAGCACTTTGTAACAAAACATGCATAATTTTTATAGTAAATCAATACATTTCAACTAGTTATATATTTCAGATCAAGAAGTTAGCTGGTTGTAAAATTCCTGACATGATTTCCTTACTGCCCTTTACATACCAGCAGAAATATGTACTACTGAGAAGACAGTAGTGGAGTTTACTGGGATTTAAAGCTAAGGCTGCATAAACACTGAGCTGGTCTCATTAGTTGCTGCAACTTCCAGTCTGAGGCGGTGAGGTGATATTTTCTTTCAATCCCTTTCTCAGACTATGCTGTTTCTTCTAAATATTGTGTAGAAACAGTTCAGCTGTTCTCATGAATATAGCTACAATTGTTCAGATGTACAAAATGGTATCTTTTTTGTTAATTTTTAATTTTGGCAAAGCAACATTTATGACCTATTGATTTATGTCCATAGAATAGCTAAAGAGATGTCTAAATTTTTTCCATATTTTGAAATTTGGATGAATGTTGTTCTGAGATTTACTTCCATACCTTGCTACCTTTTCTGGTAATTATTTGAGAAGGTAGCATAATCCAATGACAAGAATAGGAAGAGATAAGTAACATCTGTGTCATACTGGATATTCACCAAGTAAGGAGTTATGATTGCCAATGAAGTCTTTGGCTAGATTTGAATTGTAGTTGTATGTCTGATGATAACTCAGGTTGGTTGTTGTGTGGGTGAGTAGGGGTACTGTTTTTATCTGAGAGTGTCTACACAATACACTCTTGCTGCCTAGTAATAGGAATGCAATATAATTATCCTGGTTTCAGCTGGAATAGAGTTAATTTTCTTCCTGGTAGCTGGTACAGTGCTGTGTTTTGGATTTAGGAGGAGAACAATGTTGATAACACACCGATGTTTTAGTTGTTGCTAAAGTCAAGCAACACCAGTCAAGCACTTTTCAGCTTCCCATGCTCTACACACTGAGAAGGCTGGAGGTGCACAAGAAGCTGGGAGGGGGCACAGCCAGGACAGCTGACCCAAACTGGCCAAAGGGACATTCCATACCATGTGACGTCATGCTCAGTGCATAAACTGGGGGGAGTTGGCCGGGGGGGCCGCTGCTCGGGGACTGGCTGGGCATCAGTGGTGGTGAGCAATTGCATTGTGCATCACTTGCTTTGTATATTATTATTATTATTATTATTATAGTATTATATTTCAATTATTAAACTGGTTTTATCTCAACCCACATTCTCACTTTTACCCGTCCGATTCTCTCCCCCATCCCACCAGGGAGGAGTGAGCGAGCGGCTGTGTGGCTCTCAGTTGCTGGCTGAGGGTTAAAGCACCACAATAATCACATCCAAATGAGTTTTAGTCTTCCTAGCTTGGGTATCAGCAGCTGAGAAATAACACAATTTCAGTTCCATGCCTTCCAAGCTGGATGAAGAAAGATAACTCAGTATTTTATTGCACTTCTAATGGTAGCATGGCTCCATCATTAACGTTGACATTTCTTTATTGTTGCACCCGTGATTTTCAGGCTTTCCAAATCTGTCATTTAATTTTTAATAACTATTTGCTTGAGCGTTCAAGTTCCAAAATACCAGTGGCCAAACTTCAGAATCTGTCTTGAGACATTTTTCAAGCTCAGATTTATCCATAAGCTTTGCTAATGGTAAAAATAATAAATTAGAAAATTTTTGGAGGAGAAAGTCTGCAAGCAAATGCAAGATATTCTATCCAAATGGTGTATTAAAACCAGGATAGCTATTTATATAGATAACAGGAAGTGTGTACACCTGTATAACTCAACAATGGAAATTAGAATTTGATTTCTATAGCTGTTTTTTCATGAACTCAGGTTAGAGGACTGCTCACCATTCATGTAAATATGAAACAATGGAAGAGAACAAGCAATGAGCAAGTCTTTATAGCAGGGAAATAGTTTTGAGTCGGAGGGTGAGAAATGTACTTGTTAAGGAGAACTGCTAAACAATAACTGCATGATTTCCATTTTCTAAACCGTTCAAGCTGGTGTTTGTTTGATAAAGCCAAAGGGACTTTCTGCATTGGAAAAATGATTAAATAGCAAACATTTTTTTTAAAACATGCAGTTAGAAAGTTATTTCAGAGAAATACCTTAGTGTAAGATACTCACGTATCTTCACTGTAAAGGAATGTCTTGCTAATTATGACACTGTGGATAACTCTCACTGTCTTGCTTTGTTTCAATTTGATTTCAATTGAACATTTTTGAACAGTAGTTTAGTTTGAGGGTTTTTTACCACCTTTCAAGCATTTGTACTCTGTCTGTATATATAGAGAGCTTTATTAAACTTATGTGAAAATATGTCTCCTTTGAAAACACATCAGCTGCATCCCTATTTGCTCCCTTAAAATTTGGTAGCAATAATGTACTGGGAAGTGATGACAGAATGTGTTGCAATTATTGTCTTTGGTTATGGACCTTGGGTTCAGGTTAATTTATTTTTTTTATACTTTATATATAGCTCATTTTTAAATGCTGTTTTGAACAAAGAAGATACCTTTTGAAAATGTGAAAATGAAGTGTTTCATATTTCTGGAACATAACTTTTCAGTTAAAGGTGTTGAATTGAACTATTTTGCTTTTTTCAAAATTCCCTTGTTGTCTTTTTAAGCCAAAATACTTTCCGGAATTTGGCCCACGTGTATTGAATGTTTCTGTCCTTCTGAACCTCTTATTTCTAAGCAAGCACATAATACTGTGTTGCTGAATAAAAACCATCTGCTCCTCACATGTGAATCAGCTGGGGCTACTGTTTGGCACAAAATGGTAACCAAAATGCTGTAGCTTGACTGTGGAGGAAATGGGGAATAGGAAAATTATTTTGTCTTGCATAAATTTCTGAAGTATATTTAACTATATATTAATTGTCTTTGAATTAAATCCTTCTGTTCTTGACTGTCTTCCCAAACTAGAGACTGGCAGGCAGCCCTATCCAGAACAAAAGAAACACATGCTTATCTTTTAGTGTGGTTTTAAAATTAGTAGGACCTGTAGCTCATAGAACTTCAGCATTTGTCCAAGTTTACCATGCACTTAAGCATTGCCTTGAAGTGCCATGTCTGCGTAAAACGTGGCTGTATTTGAAACACATCCCTGCCTCACGATGCTGACATTAAAGGAAAACGCAACTTAAGTGTATTCTGACGGAAGTGTTTCGTTTCCTTCTCTTGCAGATGGGAAGCCAGTGTCGCTGTCTCCACTTGAATCCCAGCCCCACAGCCCTCGGTACACGGCGTCGAGCCAGCGGGAGCGCGAGAGCTTGGAAGTCCGCATGCGTGAGGTGGAGGAGGAGAACCGCGTGCTTCGCAAGCAGCTCAGCCTGGCACAGAGTCGCAGCCCCTCGCACCACCGCGGCAATCACTCCAAAACCTACTCCATGGAAGAGGGGACAGGCGACAGCGAGAGCCTGCGGGCTGGCATTGTGGCAGGGAACAGCTCCGAGTGTGGGCAGCAACCAGCAGTGGAAAAATGTGAGGTAAATAAACAAAAGGAACCTGCCAGAAACAAAGCTTGATAGATTTGATCCTTTAAGGACATTGCAGATCCCTATCTCCTTCCCCCTGAAACTTTCTGCTCAGAAACCAGCCTCTTAAAGGACTACTGGGCACAATTTTTTAGATATTTTTAAATTATTCTTTTTTAAAAAACTTTAAAACATTTAATCATCTGAATATCTTTTGAGTTATTATTTGATCAGAGTTATTTGTCTTTTTCATTCTTGTGTCCCCAGTCCTGGTGTAAAAATCAAAGCCTTGTTCCAAGCTGACTTCAATACGGCTGTGCTGATAAAGACCTGTGGCAAACTGACCCTGTGTGTTTCTAGATTAAATGAAAGTGTCACAGTGCTTTGAAACGCCTTATTCCTTTGTTTGTGCATCTGTACTAGACCAGTTCAGGGTTTACCGTTAATTAAATTGTGGCTTATGGAGCCAGCCTGTGCTTTTGAGTCACTTTCAGGAGTGTATCTGGATGCTACTGTGGAACCACCTGCTTTGTGTGAGCTGTGCACAAGAGGTGTGGTTAGCTGCAGGGAACAGGGGATCTGTTTCTACGAAGGTTTTGGGGGGTTGTTTTGGTTTGGTTTTCCCCATTTTATGCCCGTAGTTTTGTGGATGTCATCCAGCTATTTAGTTGTCAGATATCTGAATGATGACAGTTCCGAATCTGGATAGATCCAAAACAGAAAGTTTTGCTTAAAGGCCTTGTGCCAATCCCAGCTGGTGAAGATATCAAAAATAATTCCTCCATTTATTTTTACAAGGAGGGTAATACCTTATCACCTTTTATCTTGCTTTCTGCTGCTGGGAAGATAAAAGTTGAAAGAAAATAAGTGAAAGAGAAAAAGAAGTCCTAATTACCTCTTCAGATAAAGTCTATTTAATGGGCAAATATCAAATATCATTTAAAAATTATTTATTGCTTTCCAGTTGGACATCTTTGTCCATTGGTATGGAAAAAGGAACGAACATTATTTTAAGGAGAGGGAAAAGGAGGAATCTGTTTTTCATTTTCCCTCCTCCCGATAATGAGGGTCTGATTTTCCTCCCTGTAAGCATTTTGGCATTTCTTTTAATAAGGGAAGGTTCAGGCCATCAATAAGCAAACCTCACTTCTCCCTTATTATCATGCCAAGCAGTGATGAGCTGAATCTCAATTCTTGGTTGTTCAATGTACCAACCAATTTGGGACACAAAAATAGCAGCTTAAAGGAAGAATAGTTTAAGTGGCCTTCCAGTTTATAATGTTTTTTGCCAATAAATTTACTTGCTTAGTGGAGTTTAGCATTGTGCTGGAGGCAATGGTTATATAAAATACGAAACCTCACTTTATTTGCCAACCCCCTATCTCACCGCACACTATTTTGATAACGAAATAGCTTTTTCTTCTTTTTCTTAAGGAATTCACTCAGTAATTCAGTAACAGCAATGGAAGTTAAAATTAAACTTTCTTATTATCAGATTTGCCAGAGGTCTCATCGTTTACCCTATTACTGTAGATTCTGGTTCCATGTTTGTGTGAGTGGTATCTTGACTGCATTCACCCTCTGTTTTCAGTGCTTCAGCGGTGTAAACTAAATCTTTTTTAGCCTCTAACCCTGGAATATATCACAGCTTGAGTCAACAACTTGGGTAGAAAGAGACAGGGGTCCTGAGAAGAAGACTGGGGCTCTGGGGAAGACAAAGAGAGCTAGGAATAGGTTGTTTATTTAATTGAGGCAGTTCTTTGAGATTTACTGAAGCTGACATTTCAGAATCTAATTTGGGATGGTCTTTAGTGATGATTAATACATTTGAAAATGCAGTTACAATGAATGAATGTTAAATATCTGATAAAGCATAATCTGTGTGATAATAATTGTGGTCTATATCAAAAAACAGTGGGTTTGTTGCATTCCAGCCACCGCTTCCTACTCTGTTGCATCGCAGGAGGGCTCTTCTGATACTATAAAATGGACCAGCATTATACTGCAAGAAAAAGTCAGAGTTCCAACGAAGGGCCTTCTCCCTGGAGGGAGCAGATCCCTGTCATGCCTTCCCAGTAGGAGACAATTTTAACACAAACCTTGGAAATATAAGTAAGAGTAGTCCTTACACAGACGTAGGCACATCTGCAGAAGAGCATAGTGGTGATAGAAGCTAACAGAATTATGTGACTCTTTCTTATGATGTTATCCCAGTATCTTTCCAGCTTGTGCCTCTATAAACTGGGCATTTAGTTTGAATTAAGTGTGCATTTATAAATATTTTTAAAAGAGATTATATATTAGAAAATGGTTAATGAGCAGTATAGCATTTAATAGGTTAGCAGAATACTTAACATTTGAAGCATTCTTACAGGCATATTTGTATTGTTACTATTCTAAATGGTGTTGTTCAATAGGGTTAAGTGTGTAGTGCTCCAGAGCCACAAAGAACAGGTCCCCACCGACTTAATCACTGTAAAACACAGGAAAAACAGATGTTACTTGCCTCTGGGAAACATTTGTAGCTTATTTACATTTTTGTAACATGCTTTTAATATCTCTTAACCACATTCAACAATTATTTATGAAGGATTAAGTAACTGCAATGGAAGGCCTGGCTAGTACTACTGGAAAATTATTGAAGTATGAAATGCTTTACTGAAGATTATCTTTAGCTATAAGAACTAATTAGAGTTTGTTAAGCTTGTTATTTCACCATTCAAAAAGTAGCCTGAGGAGGAAAAAGAATAACATCTGTTTATCTAGGCACCTTATACTCCTCATCAGTGTGGGATCTAAGACCCGGTTCTTCATGTGGTTTTGGATATTTTCTTCCCATTAATATTACCCCAGAATGGACTTACATGAAATACTGCTTTCAGAAAGTTTTTCCTGGTCTGTAGTGGCTAAAGTAATAGTTTCTAAACCATGTTAGCATGCACCTTGGATTATTCAAACTCCCTTTCCTAAAGAAGCTTAACTTCCTTAAATGCCTTTCAGTGCCAGGGCCTGAGTGCTCTCTAAACTATTTAAAATCAAAAAGAGTTCTCTTTGTGTCCCTGATCCCCAACCTATAGGAAGAACAGCTTGATTAACTTCCACAGTGTTTTGATTAGCTGTTCTTATCTGTATGTATACGCAGAGGAAGAGTTAATGGAGTCTGGAAAGCAAGATGGATCATCATTTAATCTGTTGCTGCAGTGAGTTCCATTGTCTAAAAGCAGCTCCAGTGAATGGCCTGTGTCCAGACTTCTTGAAACATCTACTAGTGATGAACATGCCTATCATTCAATTTAAAAAGAGCGTTGTAGGAGGATGGACACTTTCAAGGAGCTCAGCTTAGTCCCACAGTGACTTCTGAATATCCAGGCTAGAGTTTGACGACTAGAATTATCATGGATTGTAAAACAGCGAGGAGCAAGGTGTAGCATGCAGAGCCTTGGTGTGAGATGTTTGGAGGGACATGTTGAACCAAACAGACAGGCTGCCACATGTTGTGGAAGTTGGAACATTCTTGGCTTATCTGGCTTCACTTCTAGGTGTTAGCTGCAGTCATCGAGGCCGGAGTTTGTGTTAATCACAGTGGCCAGTTCTGGTGGGATGAGGATACAATCTTCTAGCCATCTGCAGACAGAAAATGAGGAGTTTGAGAGAGCTGTGATGCTGCCAACCAGTTTCATAATCTGGGAGCTGATGCTTACAGTAGTATACAGAGGAGGATGCAAGTTATTTGAAGTGCTTCCTTCTTCCAGCCACTATTGCCCTGTCTTGCCAGGATTTGGCTACAGCCAGTTGCTCTCTATCCAAACATGTATTTGGAACAAGCATGGAGAAAATTGGAAGTAAAACTTTCTTTGTTAGGATGCAAACATCTGCAGACAGTTCAGGTTGTTGAGCTCATGTTGACTTACCAATTTTCCCACTATTTTGTTTAACAGTTAAACAATGAAGGAGAGGAAAGTGAATCAAGAAAAGGAGGAACAGACTGAGTCTTGCAGCATGCTGCAGGCAAAAGCTTTGGAAAAAAAGGACTAAGTTTCTATTCTCTCTGAGGATTATTGCTCTTTCCTATAGCTGATCGCAGGCAGGAATAGAAGAGATAAATAGTATCAAACACCACAGAGAGGCTGAGCAGAAGGTATATGGATGCCTGTGTCTCTGAACTGGAGAAGGACATTCAGAAGAGCAGCAAGTGCTGTCTTCTCACTGTGCCTTGGCTGAAACAGCATGCAAGACAACAGCACCTGCTAAAAGACACCAAGGAAAGCATACTTTTAATTTTGAAACAAAGTGATTTAGGAAAAGGAGAACAGATGCGGGAAGTCCTTGACAGAATCAACTCTGATTTTGTGGGGATTTGAAAGGTGGAGAGAGAGGCTGTGAGGAGAGCTTTTCTGACAAGTAGATGTAGTATAAAATGATGTTGACAGTGATATGACAGCGCTATTCTGTCAAAACCCATAAAATGTTTGTGTCTGGTCCAGTGTCTTCAGGTGAGTGTTTAAAGCAGGCCTAAAACTGTTCTCAGTTAATTTGATTTTAATTGGCATTGAAGGGAAGGCTCTTAGGTCTTCCAAAAGCCTGAGAAAGACCAGGTGGCAACCAGAGAGGAGGCAGTGCATGCAGTGTCAGGAATCTGTGCGTGCACAGGATCCCATGCCCATGAGTATGGTACAAAACACTGCTGCAATAAAAGTTGTCAATAAGCAGCCTCTGTTCTCCCCTATTGTTATCACAAGAGAGAAACATGATCAATTTTTGCAAAGTGCTGAGCATGCTCAACTCCCATTGACTTTAACAGAAATTTAAAGTGCTGAATACCTCACAGAGCTGTTGCCAAAGTGTACTGCAGTATCTTTTCTTTTCTCACACCTCGCTGGACAGACAGTTGCCTTATTAATTCAAGTCCTCTTAAAACCTCAGATCTTCAGTGTGCCTCAGCTTGTGAGGCACGCTAGGGCTGGAGGCAGCTGCAATGTTCATGTGGGGGTTGCACAATGGCACAGTCACTTGGCAATTATATGATTCAAATTGTGCCCTGTACCAGGCGATATTAATGGATGGGGCTATGGACCCGTTAGACGTGCCCAACACATGCCACCTCTTGTGTAAATCTGCTTCTGTTACAAGCCAGACTTTGGGAATCTATGACTATGTGAGGAGGCAGAATTCCTCATTTGTTCTCTGCGTAGTGGGCTTTCTGTGGAAAATGAGAGCTGTGTGTGTGAGAAACCAGCTAACCAAGCTTCAAATGGAAGCCAAATGAGGCTTCCCTGCAGTTTCACAGCTGTGTCCCCAGTTGCAGCTTTGTGCTGCCAGCATGGTGAACTCTCCTTCATTTCTGTGACCACTAAGAAAAATACGGAAGCTGGAGTCAAAACTTGCTAAGATTAATTTTCTTTTGTCCCCAGGGAATAGCAATGGCTAATTTTAAAACCAGAGAAGAGTAACTTAACAGCATTTTTCAAATTATTACTTGCTTCCTTAATAATAGTGACTAGTAGCGCCTTTTCAATTTTCCCTTCCCTCTTGAAGAGATGAGTAAACTTCTGCCTCATATCAAAAGGGCAGTAAGAAGGCACAGAATAAGTGATAGTTTACCAAGGTGCTGGAGTGGGGAGAATGTGGGGAGGAGGGTTGCATTTAGCTTCACTTTAACACTGCCCAGTGCAGCCCATACTGTGGTATTCATAGGCAGGGAAGTGACCACGTGCCTTCACAGCTTGTCTCCTATCTTATCACTGGGATGCACCCAGCCCCTGGCAAACCAGTTCTCCCACTCATGCTCATCCATCAGAGCTTGCTCTCCGTCTCCTTAGTTGCTGTCCTTAAGATGGAAATAATGCAAAATTTCTAAGAGCATATTTGCTTCTAATTATCAGACACAATTTTAAACTTCAATTCAGAAGGTTAAAGTGTCTGCATGTTTGCATGCTCAGAATTTTGTGTGCTGCTAAATGGGTATGTGTGTGTGTACACATGCACACACATATGCTCTTAGCTAGTAAATGCAATTCTGTTCAGATATCTGATGTAATTTAGGGATAGTAATGACTTTGGAATGATGATGGTGTTATAACTCAATTAAGATGTTTTTAACAAACTGCCTCAAGTGGGCTGCAAACAGCTGCAAAATGCCCACTCAAATCTTTAACAATCACTGCACTAAATAATAGCACTGTCATGTATGTGCTCTCCTTAATGAAAGATAGAACACAGGAGCAGGCTTTAATTTTTGTTCTTTTTGTTCCTTTTCTCCCACAGACCATCCACGTTGCCATTGTTTGTGCAGGGTACAATGCCAGTCGGGATGTTGTCACACTTGTCAAGTCTGTCTTATTTCACAGGTAAAGGTAGCTTTCTTCTCTTGTGTATTGTATATCTGATTATGGCTAAATAAGCTCTTTTTACATTTACTCTCTTACTTCAAAAGAAAGTCAGATTCCCTTCCCTGGTTGCTTTTCCTTTGGAAGGAAGGAAGCATGAAATTTATGACCACCACAAATAGATTCATCTGTGTAAAGATTTCTGCAGTGAATTAGAGGGATCAGAGATCCACCTGCTACTCCTGTTGCATTGTGGGAATAGTGACAGTATCCATCTGTACTGTAAAGCATCTGCACCCTCCTGAATGTTGTAAAATAATAATAATAGTAATAACAGCATTGTATTCATTTAGCCTATTTCTGGTATCAGTTTATGGCACAGGTGTAGATGTTAATTTAAAAGCCATACACATAAATACACACTGGTTACTTGACTATCCCAGCTTCCCATTTGAACATTTATTTTTCAAAGTAAACCTGTTACTACTGTCAGTATTATTTCATTAAAGTCAGATCATTTATTCTGGCTTTGGAAGAGCTACTTGCAGCCCCGCAGAAGGCTTTGCAACCTGGTTTTAGCACATGGAGCACAGTTAGATCCCAAAATCGAGAGGCATGTACAATGAAGACAAAACAACCAATTCCCTTAATAAACAGCAGCTCCAGAAAAAGAGAAATGGTATTAAACTGTGTGTGGGCATATGAGTATATCCCTTGTCCAGTTTAGTAATGTCTCTCAGATGTTTTCCAATGGTGTTGCAGAAGGTGGATCAAAATAGGGACCTGAGAGACTAATCAGATTGATTGACTCAAACAGGACAAGAAGACTAATAAAACATGCATAGAGTATAAAGAGTTTACTAAGGAGGTAGTTTCAATACGCTGCTTTATATTGAAAGATATTTTATACCAGGTAGGATGACTATTGTTCATGTCATGTGCTAATATCTTCTTATAGCTAGCTGGAGTGAAGAATTCCAGTCCCCAACCTTGCCCCTTATGTTTACCTCCAATCCTCTGCTGGAACAGTCTTAGTAATCACTCCCTTACAATGGCTTTAGTACACCATTTTAACTATTACCCATTTTTGGTAAGCTTCATAAAAGAATGTAAATTCTCACCTTGTACAATGTGGAAAAAGTATCAGTAAATATTGTTTAAGATGTTGGCTAGAGTGCAGGTGGAGAGGGGAAATTCTCCAAAATGTGAGAGCAACTTTCACTATCAACACATAGCCTTTGCAAGTCTTTCCAGAGTAGCATTTTCATGTTAAATGAGGGCTAGGAGCAGGAAAAACAATGCTAAAATAAACATAACAAAACCAAAACAACAGTAAAAATCTGTATCATGCTCTGTGCAGAATTTTTCTGAATGTTAAAATCCTGTTAAATTTTAAAACTATATCTATTTGCAATTAGACTTCTGAATTATTCAGTGTAAACTGGCTTTATATTGCAAAGATGTGGGGTGTTTTGCCTATTTTGATTGCTGTTTCTAAGGTATTTCTTGCAAATACGCATTCTTATGGTGCCATAAGTTATCCTAGTGGTTAGCTTCTCAGCGTTTTTCTCTCCTAGTACTTGCATCCATTTTGAGAAGACTAATATTCTGTAGGTTTCTAAATGTGCTGTAAATAATAGGATTCTCACAGCTCAAAGGTTTATACAGTCTCTTTCTGAGTTACTTATAGGAAATGTCCCCGTTTTACATAAGCCACTCATCTGAACAATTAGCAAACTTATAAACAATTCTGCCATATATTGGCAGAATTATGTAATTTGGAAATATATTTAATTAAAAATATGAAACCAAAACAAAGGGAAGTAACATTGGTATTTCTAAGTCTGGTGAATTCTGCCCTTGTCAAGAACATTTTTGCTGTTTGGCTAGCAGTACTGCTCATCTCAAAGGATTGGTCTAGCTCAGCAGAGGTGATCAAGATAAAGTCCAGTATAGCTAACGAAACTTTAGTACAGTTAGTTACATTCAAGATAACCTATCTCGCTTGTTTGCTCAAAACATACTTAAAGACAAATCTAAGTCCATTCCTGCCTAGAACTAGCTTTTCTCACTAGGCATTAAATTGTTCGCTAAAAGGGAATATGTTCTCAAAGAAGAGACAGAGCTTCTTACAGACATTTCTTCCTTATCTTCTAGAAAACACAGGCTTCTTAAGCATCTGTTGATGCTATGGCTACATATGCAGAGGTCCATGCCTCAGAAACACTCCTTTCTTGGTTCTTTGTCTTTGGAGTGGCAATGGTGAAGAAGGCTGGAGAATAAACAACAAGCAAACAACAAACTCAGCTGAAAATTGATTTAGAACCAAGATTCCTTGCACTGGTTGCCATGTGCAAACAATGTTATCCTGGAAACTGGTATGCACTTCAAAAATTATGATGATTGGAAAGAAGGCTTCTTTTATTTGCTAGGATCTACTTAATTGTAGGAAGGAAGGATGGAGACAGGTGCATTAGGAGGAATGAGTTAGGAGAGTTGGGAGGTGGTTGGTTCAGATGGTGGATGCTTCATGATATCAGTAGCAAGTTCACCATCTCACTTGAGGGTCATCAGTGAAAACACGCATGGAAATGTGTCTTCTTCTAACCCCTAGATGTGCACCAAGGAATGCATCCTAGCTGACATTGTCCAATAAGCCAAGCAAAACAGACATTTGAAAGGACTGTATGTTTCCAGTGGAGAAGAAGTTTGCTTTTTCTGTCGTAATCTTTAAAGTTAGACTACTGGTCCTTCATTTGTAGTATCACCACATTCAATCTCAAATATAGTTTTGCAAGAACAGAATGAACATGCCTCCAAACGTATTGTCAGAGCTTTTTTTTTCCTTTTTGAAGTTTCTGATGATCAGTGTTCAACAAAACCTGATACAGCAAGTGCAGAATTGGCCTGCAACAAGAGTGTAAGAGAGTGTATTGTATAATTGAAAGACGCTTGTGTAGAAATCACAGCTGTTATTATGTAGCCAGGCACAGTGTGGGTTCTCCTTGGGCAGCTGTACCATTACACCTCAATCCTGCCCTGCAACACCCTGAATACAATCTACTGGTTAAACAACTGGCCCCTCAAAGCAACGACACTTAATATCCTCATCTGTTCCTGCTGCACATCACTTGGTGTTTGTTGTAAAAGCACTGATTTCAGTGAATCTGTCTGGAATTCATGGCAATGTCATGTGCTTTTATTAGCATTTCCATGTAGTTTAGTAATTAAAGCATGTTTTAGCTATGCATTTTGATACAAAAAGAGGTACCTAAATTCCCTACTTCTGTAGGGAATCCCTGCTTCTCTAATAGAAAAATTCTGAGAAAACGAAGCCATGTCAGTCTAACCATCTTCCCTCCATGCATTAACATGTTTGTTATACTCCCAACTTTGAGCTAGAGTGCTAGATAGAGAGACACAAAACAGCAGGGGTGCTGGGTCATTAAGAATAAAAACTCCAAGAGTTTCTATAGATGGAGTGTGCAGTCTCTTCTCTCTTGCATGCATGTACAGCAAATCCTGCATATTGAACATTTCAGCTCTCCTCAGGTTTAAAAAAAGCAAGTTTCTGATTCTAGTCATACCATATATATTGTGAGACTTCGGCAAGCTACTTGTTCAAACCATTTGAGAAACTATATCTGTCTTTGGGTTCCAGAGAGTGGGAAGAGGAGAGGGAAGGGGTGGTGTGGTTGATTCCGTATAAGAACGTAGTTCAGAAATGTGTTTCATTCCCAATGGAAAAGGAGCCTGATTCCAGTTTTGTCTTTAGAAAACGTATGCTCAAGCCACAAAATCCCAGCAGCTTTCAACACCCAGTTTGACATAACTGACAGTCTGTTCTCAGGAGGAGACTCAGCAGAGCTGGGATAGTGCAGGGTTTGCAGACTGTGATAAATATACGTTGGCAGTGCTGCACAGGGGGAAGCTTGTAGAATGAGTACTTAGTCCTAGTCTGCAACTTTCCTGCTTTCCTGTCTTGGGCATCTAGTTCCTAATTATGACAGACTTTATAAATCTGTTGCAGGGGTGAAAAATCTTCTGTCTGAGCCAGTTTAACACAGCCAAGCTCATATCACTGTGTCCTAAGTGCAACTTAACTTTAGTTTTTCCAAAGCAAAAGACTAAACACCAAAAATGAAAGATACTGGGTCAAATGGGCAAAACGAAATGCAGGTGCTTTTGGAAACGGTGCATACTACTAGTATGCAAAAAGCATCTGCATTTCTTTTTCAAAACTGAAGCAGTGTCCTGTGGCTAATAGCTCTCCTTGAAACTTTTGCAACTACTGGTCCAAGTTGCATTGGTCATTTTCAATGTTTTACTCTGTTTCTGAAAATTGTAAAGCTTAGAATGCCACAGAAACAGCCCACGAGTTATAGTTTCATATTGCAAAGGTAATTTCTGTCTCTGCTTAGGTAAGTCTTAACTTGAGTAAGAGCTAAAATGATTTTTAATGTACTCTTATCTTTTCCAAAGACATGCTAAACACAGTGTTTCATTTGGGAACAACGAAAGGCCAAAATTACACAATTATAACATGTTGCTGGCAGTTAGGTTGACCTGAGAATCTGTGAAAAATTAACTTCTCTTTTGTGTCAGCTAATACTGCCTTTTTTTTTTCCTTTGTTAGTCCCTCTTCTTTGGAGAAGTCACTGTGGTTACTTCTTTAGCTGTACGCTCCGTCTATCCAACAGCAATAGTGGCACAGTAATGGTGAATGGGGTTTCGTAGTGTAAACAAAAACAGTCAACTAGACAAATGCTTTCTAATATGAAGTAGCCTCTTTGTTTTAAGAAGGCTGCTTATAACCTTAAAGTTAAGCATATGTCTAAGCATTTTTAAGATTAGGATATTAAACTGTGTTCTAGATTGCTGTATGAACAAGCTTTTTTTCTTAGAAAAAGTAGAATAAGGCAAAGCAAATGAAAATCTAAATTAAATAAAAAGAATGACATGTAATTTCCAAGTAAGAGTCACAAGTCAACACTGGCTGGTAATTAAAGCTTATGTAATCT